TTTGGTTGGGAGGTCCCAGTCACTTCCCAAAATATCTAAAATATCCTATAATACTTCAAAATTGGATACCCATACATTGCTTGGCCTGCTTAATGGCCAGTTAAAAATGGTAAGATGGCAATCCAGATCAAGTGTTGAGACCTTGGCCTGCAGTGACACTCCAATGTCAGGGCCTGCCTTCCCTGAAAAGTGTAGTTAGGGATTATTCATTGTACTGTAATGCATTATTTCCTTCAGATGCCTTTAAGGCTGGGCATCAACATCTTCTCTTCTATTCTCGAAGGCTTTCACGGCTGTGATCTGATTTCTGTTGTGGGTTTTTCGGGTTCTTTAGCCGTGTTCTGAAGGTTGTTCTTCCTGATGTTTCACCAGTCTCTGTGGCCGGCATCTTCAGAGGACTGGAGTAGGAACTCTGTCCATGCTCTGTTGCTGTTTGTTGGATAGTTGAGTATTTATAGCTGTGGGAACAGCTTTTTCAGGCGATACGGTGATCAGCGTGTTTTGGTTGTTGTTGTTGTTGTGATAAGGAGGGGGAGATTGTCTGTTACTGCAATTGATGGGTGTCATTAGCTGGTCATTTTTGTGTAATGATCCCTGGTCTTTGTGGCTGGATAGAGTTCATTGACCTTTTACAGGCTGTATTTTTTAATATCGGGAGCCAGGCTGTGTTTACTTTTAGGCCTTCTTCTTGTTGAAATTTTGTTGGTGTTTATGGATTTCAATGGCTTCCCTGTGTAGTCTAACATAGTGGTTGCTGGTGTTCTCCAGTATTTCGGTATTTTGAAATAGAATTTCATGTCCAGCTTGTTTTAGGGCATGTTCAGCTACTGCTGGTTTTTCCAGTTGTTTTAATCTGCAGTGTCTCTCATGTTCTTTGATTCTGGTGTGAATGCTGCGTTTTGTAGTTCCAATATACAGTGGTGCCCTGCATAACGAGCGATTCGTTTAATGACGAATCCACATAGCGATTGAGTTTTTGCGATCGCATAACGATGTTTTAAATGGGAAAACATCACTTTGCAATGATTGGTAAGTGTTTCGCTTACCAATTATCGCATAACAATGTTTTTGGAACAGGTGATCGGTGGTTCTAAAATGGCCACTGGGTAAAGAAAATGGCCGCCCGCTGTGTTTTAGCGCCCTTTCCTTGCTTACCGGCCAGTGAAAACGGCGGCCGCATGGAGGATTTCTGCATAACGGTGAGTTTTTTGCCCATAGGAACGCATTAAACGTGTTTTAATGCGTTCCTATGGGCTTTTTTGCCCCGCATAGTGACGAATCCACATAGCGACGATTTTTTAAACGGATTATCATCGCTATGTGGGGCATCACTGTATACCTGTCCACAACTGCAAGGTATCTAGTATATTCCAGCACTGGTGAGGGTCTCCCTTTTGTCCTTTGCTGACCATAACATTTGTTGTATTTTTGTGGTGGGTCTGAATACTGTTTGTAGGTTGTGGTTTTTTCCCCCATGCGGTCCATGACCCCTTTGATGTTTCCTGCTTTGAGCTCTTTCATATATTACAAGATTGAAATCTGCCCAACATATTTCACCGAAGTATTAGAAGGTCTACTTCTCTGTAGACCCTCTAACTGGTGTAGAGATAGACCTGAAGTATTAGAGGGTCTACTTCTACACCCAAGATCTACTTCTGTGACCATAGGCCACTCTGAGATGTAGTCTCACTCAGTGGGTACTCTTGCTAAGAAAGCAGCCCTGTTGTTCTGGCTCAAAATAGTATACCATATGACCACACTGCTGGTTTCATTGGCCTATGAAGAAATGGGAAGGGATTCTTGGGCGGCTAAGATATCCACAATTACAGTCGTGTCTCGCTTTACGATTACCTCGCTTTACAGTGAAACTGCATTACGGCGATCTTTTTGCGATGGCAATTGCGATTGCAAAACAATGCTCTGAATGGGTTTTTTTCGCTTTATGATGATCGGTTCCTTGCTTCGGGAACCGATTCTTCACAAAATGATGATTTTAAAACAGATGATTGGCAGTTTCAAAATGGCCACCGGGTAAACAAAATGGCTTCGCGCTGTTTTCTGGGACGGATTCCTCGCTACACAGGCAGCGAAAATGGCCACTCTATGGAGGATCTTTGCTGGACAGTGAGTTTCCAGCCCATTGGAACACATTAAACGGGTTTTAATGTATTTCAATGGGCTTTTTTTTTCACATTACGACGTTTTCATTCTACAGCTATTGCGCTGGAACAAATTAACGTCGTAATGCGAGGCACCACTGTATATCCAAGCTGGGATATTCCCCAGCCTACCACCACAGGAGAAGATATGAGGCTGCCCAAGAAGAGAGTATTAAAAGACTATAGGACAGTGACATCCAGACTACCATGGCATCCGCAGTTAGCTGCAACTCCAGTAGGATACACAAAGACTTTTTCTTGCCTTTCAGAAAGGTGCTCTCATACTTGTACCTCATTAGCTCGCATGATATGAGGCAACTGCTAATTAGATGCAGCTTGAACTTGTTGCAATTGAATGCATGGGGCTGGGTGGGTTTTGACTTGAGTGGTTATGCCTCATTAGTTCACATGGGATGAGACAACTGCTAAGTAGATGCACCTTGAACTTGTTGCAATTGAATGCAGGGGGCTGGGTGGGTTTTGACTTGAGTGGTTTTCTGATCTGCCTCACTTTATCAAGCTCATCCTTTGTCCCATGTTATCTCCTGCACACACAGAAGATAATACGACTAGACTGAATCGCCACCACACAAGGCCTCATGCTTTGGTCTGCCTTTTGGCTTCCAGACACTATGCCTGCAACTGAGCCCTTCTTAGACCTGGTCCCATCCTGGTGCCATGAACATGATGCTGCCACAGAGGCAAATTGAGCAATTTGTCTTTACTCACCAGATGCATCCAAACTCAACAAATTCAAAACACAAACTGAACATATGTAATGGAATCTCTCCAGATTTTGCATTTTCATTGTTTCAACTGGTAAGAAGCATTTCACGGTTTACATCCTTTTCCATTCAATCATCTTCTGGGACATGTTAAAGCATTTCCTATGATAATCCAGCCACCTAGCAGAACATGAGATGGGGCTGTGGTGCCTTTTGCGATGGGAGAAGAGCCACCAGTACAAGGACAGTGTTATGGAAGCACTGATATTCAATTACAAGTCTGATTTTACTGAAAGGGATGGTGGTGTTTGTTCTCTAAATAATAATTCTTGCTGCATCCCAATGTTTTATGTACTTGATTAGGAATTTAATAATTTGATACAACTAGATGGTAAATATGTATTAATGTTCCTAGACTTTAAAATCATCAAAATAATTTTGGAATTATTTCATGATGACCCTCAGGAGTAGCGAACAATATTAATCTGCCTGGCTTTTACAGAAGGGTGGTATTAGCTAGACAAGGAAAAGAGAAAAGGGGGAAAATATGCTCCAAAGTGGAAGGTATCTTAGAGCTAAACTGAACCACCTGCGGTGCTCCAAGCTATCAGAACATGGCCAGTGAAGTGGGCTAACAAACATAGTGTGGGATAGATTGGGCTACAAAAGGTCTCTTTAGGTTGTGGTTTGGAGGGAGAAACAGTGAGCCACTGGGCAGGCTCTTCTCCTCTGAAGAGCAAACCACCCCTTGTAGTAGCCTGATCAGCTGCCAATTTAAGCCCCTTTCTAATTGTCTGCAGAAGGTCAGGGGAAGTAAAATCATTTATTTCTATCACTCTGTTCTCCCTTTCTTGGCAGTTGGGGAACTGAGGGCATGAAGGAATGAGAGCCACTGAAGGAAACGTATCAGCAGAAGCGGCAGAGGCTTGATGGGGGTGTGTGGCTCCTGTGCAGCTGGATTCATTTACCTGAGAAGCTTTCCCTGTCCTTCTTCGCACACTTCTTTCACCCTCCCCTCTAGGGCTGAGGGGGAAAAAACACTGCTTCATTGAAGAAACCCACTCCTTGTGAAATCAAAACACACAGCATCTCTTTCATATAGATATACAGAGAAGGAAACAATGAAAATTAGCAGCAAGACCAGAGAGAGAGAGAGAGAGTCTAATGGTTGTTGTGGGTTTTTTGGGCTCTCTGGCCGTATTCTGAAGGTTGTTCTTCCTAACGTTTCACCAGTCTCTGTGGACGGCATCTTCACAGGACAGCAATCTGTCCTCTGTTTTCTCCCTCCCTGCTTTCCTTCCCTTGCTCTCCCCCCTCTTTCTCGCTCAGAACAACTGAGAATCTGCATCTGGTACCAGCTGATATCTCCCAGACTAAACGAGCAAGCCAAAATGATTGCATGCCCTACCGCTGGGCCAGCAAGGTGTGTGACAGCTCTTAAAGGGGAAGGATGGCTCAATCTAAAAATCAAGACAAGCAGACATGGACTTTTTTCTTTATACTCAAATCGTGCCCTCAATGATCCATAGACTGTATATGGTATTGAATATACAACCATGCCCCACACTAACATATGTGTGTGTGTATATATATGTGGGGGGGCATGGTTGTGTATTTAATACCAAAAGGCTCCTGAAATTTGCACTCCTACGTATAACATGATACAACATTGGAACAAACAGGCAAAAAAGCACAAGAAGTTTTTGATTATCATTTTTTCCAAGGGGTGGATGGAACCTCTTGAAGAGAGAAAGACCAAAGAGGCATAAAAAGATTACCTGATGAACTTTGCTTGCTCAGCCAACAAAGTGGCACAAGATCTTTACTTACTCAAATACGTCCTTAGGGAACAAGATACTTTGTTGCGTCATTAGGAATTGTATCCTCCAGAGATTTGCATTTCTTTCTCTGTAGCATTATGTAGCTATTATAAAAGCTCCAAGCATGGGAATTTTCTCTGCTGGACATCAGGCAGAAGCCAAGACTAACCACAAGCAAAGACGCCTTTTCTGACGCCTCTCCCAAAAAGGGACTATAATGGTTGCTGAGATCATGCATCAATATGTTATCATTACCTCAATGATTATAGCAATATTATGTATTTTTGCTCTTTTAGGAAATGGATTTATTATAGTCGTGAATGGGTATCAATGGTTCCAACAAAGGAAGATGATTCCTTCTGATTTCCTTTTGACCTGTTTGAGCAGCTCCCGGGTTCTCGCACTGTGGACTGGTGGACTGACCATTTTTCTAGGAATTGCCACTCCAGAGACACATAAACATTCTCATACAGAGGAATTTCTAACCTTGACTTCATTCTTTTTTGACATCAACAGCATCTGGTGTGCCACGTGGCTGAGTGTTCTCTATTGTGTGAAGGTCACCAACTTTACCAATCCCTTCTTACTCTGGCTGAAGCCAAGGATCAACCTGCTGGCACCTAGATTGCTTGGGATTTCAGTAATTGTTTCCATGGTTGTCTCTGTTCCTTCATTTATCAGATATTCTGGATACAAAAGGCGGTGCAATCTGACAGGAGATCTGCCAATGAACACCAGCGAAAGGATGATTTGCAACAATTTATTCTCTCTTTTTCGACCTGTGCGGTTCGGCCTGGTTTCCATAAATTTCAGCCTAAGCACCGTCTCAACCATTCTTTTACTTACCTCCCTGTGGAGGCACATAACAAATCTGAGAAAGAGTGGTGCTGGTATGAAGGATGTCAGCACTCAAGTCCACATCAACGTCATGAAGCCTCTGGTGTTCTATCTCTTCTGCTACCTTTCCTATTTCATGGGTATGGCTACTTATTCAGTTGCGCATATCCGGCAGGACATTCTTGGAGAATTGATTGTTGAGTTATTGGTGTCCTCCTTTCCTTTGGCACACACCATAATGTTAATATTGAGTAATGCAAGACTGAAAAAAGTGGCTGTTCGCATGCTGAATATCAGATGAAGAGCTTCATAAATGAGAGACAGAAAGAGCAGACATCCAGCGGTTACGTCCAAGGAGGGGCAATATTTCCCCCTTTTGTTGCATTCAGTAGATATTGAAAATATTAAATGGCAATTACAATGGTGATGTATGTCCTGTCCTTGAAAATAGATGAAAG